CGAAGCAAAACTCATCGGTTTTGCCATGTTTTAATGCATATTATCTTTTCTCTTGATGTCACTGCAGAAGAAATGTATACGGCATGTATGTAGGATCCAGTATGTCACTTCATAGGTATGCACCACAGATACAGATCAAATTCTATATATAGTACATATATCACCAGACTATCTTCATGAGAAGGAGTTTCTAGAAGCCACAGAGAAATAGCAAGACATGCAACAAATGCTTTCTGTAACACTTACTGACAGCAGGCTATGGAATTATTTCCAAGTTCTTTGATTCTGGAAGCAAAAAGCAAATGAAGAGAAATATATCTGCTTTTGCATCAAAGTTTTCTATCTTCTAAAATTATTCATTTTTTTTTACTTTATGTTACAGAGCATAAAGTCAAAGCCAAAGATTTTCCTTTGCATTATGGCTCTTCAGAAGAATTGGGGAAAGCAAGAGTTATGCATTGAGCACAATTATGAGCAAGTTATGAGTCAAGCACAGACCTGAGCTGAGCAACACGCAACTGAGTCCAACGAGCTCCCCAACTTCCAGGCAGATTTCAGAAACAGTTAAGGCTCTCTCCAATGTGTACCCTTAACATTTTTAACCATGGGATTGTACTCGTAATATTCGTATTTACATTGTATTCATGCTGCAAGGAATACCAACAGAATTGCCACATGTGCTGTGAGTTTCCTATAAAAAAAAAAAAGCACCAGCAGTGCAATTGTACTAAACCATTAATTTGAGGAACACGGGCAAGTGCAGTTTACTTCACCCCCCCAGCCACAAAATTTGACTCTTCAAGGGAAAAAACAGCAGCACTTGAAAATTCAAAGAAAAGTAACATTCTAATTGACTGTAACTTATGAAAGAGATCTTTTTCTTCTTTTCTTTAATCACAGTGTCAGACTATATTCAAAAAAGTAACTGTCTAAAGTTATACTTAATTTCTATTTCAGGTAAATTTGTACCCGTATTTGGCTTCTCAATCTAACATGCAGAAGTGATTTCCAGTGTTCCACATAAGTGAGATGCCAGGGCTCTCCTCAGAAGTTTGTTGCTGTTCTGAAAAGTACAAAGTTGATCTACCAAATACAATTCCTTCCTTTCAAGACTAAAATCTGCATAAACAGAGTTATAGAAAAATGCAAGGAATATTGTCAAGCGCAGAAGTTGGTGGTTAGAAATGAGGAACCCTGCAGGCACTCATACTCATAGTTATACTATGGCCAGCAGCAGCACTACTCCAGTAACACCTCCAGGGAGACCTGCAGGTTCAGTCAAACACCTAGTCAGCACCAACATCTGAAACTTCAAAATCTAGGAGAGAGCTCCCATCTGAGAGCTCTCATCTCAGTAGCAGCCCAAGAGACCTTATGACACACTAATGGAAAAAGCAAAGTATTTATTTACAGCAATGTAACTGCAATTATACTAAGCCATTAATTTGAGGAACATGGGCAAGTGCAGTTCACTTTATAGTTATTTTACTACTAAACTAGGCCAGCAGCAGTTTGTTTCACCTGAAACTGGGCACTTGGACCTCATGGTGCTACATCAACCTAACAAAATAAGGGCAGGCATCTGTGCGTGCAGGCAACCATCAGCTTGCTGAGTGCACGACATGAACGTGGAGAAAGAAGAAGGGACACGAAAGTGGAAAGGATACGGTATATGGAGAAGATACAAAAGGGGAAAGCCTCCTGGGAAGTTCAGAGGGAAAGGATGATAATCACAAAGAAGAACCTGGGGTGGAGGGAAAAAAGCCACCCCGCAACACACACAACACATTAGACTGGCCTGTTTGTGGGTATCTTAATCGCCTTTTAAGGTAATTTGGCATTTTTTTCCATGTTGACAGATTGCTATCCCCAAGACCAGAGATTAACCATGTTCTCCTCAAAAGCCCAAGAGGCGACAATTAGCTCACACGATGACTTGCAAGGGAACGACGTGAACCACCCCCCCCAGAGGAACTAATACAGAATATTATGGGAGAATTCACTCTGCATGTGGAAGATAGATAAAAGTCAGCTTATGTTAGGCTAGCACATTAATAAAGCCACTTCCCCACTTGCCTGTTCCATCATCCACCAGGAAGGCAGTGGAAGCCAACAAGGGCAGAAGGTTAAAACAAGGCTAAAGGTTTTACAGGATGAGGATTACATCCATAGGCCAGGTGAGACAAAACGAAAGCTTGGAGACAACCTTCCCTCGTCATGTGCACGGAAATAGTTAGCGATGGATCATTTCCAAAACGTGTTAATAGAGCTGCAGGCTGCTTGAATCACATTCAAGACGACTGCCTTCCTGCGGTGTCCCGGTCCACGAGAGGAGACAAGGAAAGCTACAGGATTCTTGCAACACATTCAAGTCATGTGAGTTATGCAAACTAAATGGACTTCCCCTCAGGCGCTTCCCTCCAAGCATCAAGGTTTTATCTGCATTCATATAAAATCTGTTTACAGGCAACTCCTCTGTGATACTGGAGTAGGGTGTAAGGGGGAGGGGGGGGAATTTTGCCTTTCCCCCCCACTCTTTTTTTGCTCCTGCTTTCCAAGCAGGACACAAAGCAAAGCTGGCCAGGTGTCTCTAAACCACAGAGCCAGCTGCTCCTTAACCAAGCTCACAGGAAATAGCAAGGAAAATATGCAGCATTTGACACATCTGGAATAGATTGCAGAGTCTTTGAAAACAGTGTCCCAATTCCCTTCCTCCTGCTGATGAGATTTCAGGCTCCCAAACTGCTGCATCAACTATAAAGGATTAGATAACATGTACATTTTTTAACCCTACATATTCTGCCTGAAGATGACTTCTTCCACTCTAGCCCAGGAAAAAAACAAAACAAAACAAAAGCAAAGAACCCCCAAGGTCTGGATGAAGCATTCTGCAAAGTTGTGGTGGAGTAAATGGAAATAAGTCAGCTTGAAGACGGTTATTCAATTTGGGAAAAAATCATACAGCTGGAAAATAGACACTGGTAAATATAGAAAAGGAATCAATATAGTGTGCCTGGCCCGCTTGTATTAACTGATCAAGCGAAGCGTCCTTACAGTATGATCCAATAAAACACGAGACAGAAAGGAAAAGAGAAGGGAACGTTGGTTAATATCAATGTAACTCCACGTTGCCACCAGTCTTGCACTGTGTAGTTTTCAATGTGAAGTGCAAAACAATAAAAAGCAGAAGCCTCGATTAGCAAAACAAGCAATGTTTTATTATTTGCTTCTTTTCATAAGGACGATGAATGCAAAAGAACATAGAAAAAGAACAGGTAAGCATAGAAGGAAATTCCAATCAGATATTGAACATAATACTGAACTTTTTTTCCCCATAAAAAGCTGAGAAGTGGAGTGCCCCTCAAATTAGTCTATAATCACTTTTAATATCTCTGAAAGATTAAGAAAATGAATAACGTGAGCAGATTATATATGCGTTCTTAAACATTTAAGATACAAAATTTAATACAGCACTAGGTTAATGACAACATAAACCTCACCATTTTTAATGTTAGTAATAAAAAAGCAGAATTTCATAAAAAGAAAAAAATGGAGGAAATTATCTGCATCTTTCTCCCCCAAAGGTGCAACCAATAACTACTGTGTTTTGCAACTGAGATTCCAGTTGTACAAAGGATTGAGAGATGTATTCTCCTACTGAGGAAGAAACATAAAAAAGCATTCCACAAAAAAATTAAGGAACTTCAATGTGCACGAGCAGGCAAGAAGATCCCTTAAGAGATGAAATTTTTAAGAAAGTAATGGTATAATTTAAGTGAGGACAGGGAGAACACTTTTTTTTCCACTTTCAGAGACTTAAAAATACATTTTTCCCCCCTTTATGTTATTTCCAAAATTACCTCGGAATTTAAATCAGTTTATTGTTATGAAATGATAATATCTCTACAGAAAGATTTCAAGACACCTGCATGACTGCATGGACTCTTTTTGAGAAGACTCTCCAGGGGACGCTGTGTTTGTACTAACTCGAGACTTTTAAATAAAGCCAGTATTTATAAAGCAGGGAACACGTGTGCAATATCTGTTTTAGGGACAAAGCTGTACCTACAAGCACCCAGCTGCATAATCATGGACTAAGGATATACAGCTGTCCATCCCTGCTAACATGAATAAATATAATCTTTTAACAGGATTATGCTTATGAGCAAGGCCATTCAGGCTCAGGCTAAAACCAGTTAATAGAAATTCATGTGAACAAACTTAGGATGAAACAATTTGATGCCTTGACATCCAAAATTCTACCTAGCAGTAAGTATTTCCTTAATAACCATATCAACAACAACAAAAATATAGGTAGCTCATATGAAGATTAAACATAATTTAGAGAATGTGCTGTTACAAAATATAGTTTGACTTATTTCCTAAGAAGCAATTTAAACAGTAATTTATGTAGAGTTATTTACAGTGGACTCAAAGTGAAGTATCAGTTTTAAGCAAACCAGTATATTGGTTTGAATTCCATAAAGTATTGATGAAAACAAGTTTGTGATAACAAGGAACTTCAGGTTTTAGTAAACTTAAAAGTTCTACACAATTTAGATGAACCTAAATTATATTAAAAATTTGTGTCATGTGGTTAATCTGAATGATTTAATGCATTCCATTTTTACTCAAACTTCAGATCTATACATCAGTGATACATAAATGCTGTAAAACAAATTACCACTTAAATATTCTGGATAAAAGAAGCACGGATTAACCAAGGCTGACTATACTTAACCTATACTAACAGAGGATTTGCTCTTACTTCGGTACTATCTTCAAAGCACATATGCAAATGCGCTGAAAGAAAAGGCAGTAATTATAAATATTTACTAGAATGACCAGAACTGCCACGTGACCGTAGACCATCCTGTCATTTGTATCTGAAGCTGTATCTTCACTAATTTGTCTTCTGCTTTTAGTAGTCTTCTATCCTATTAACTTGAAGAGTTACGGATCATCTGGAAATTTCACACTGGTATAAGGAAAGGAATGTCTGTTCGATGCAGTCTGGGGATAAAAAGAGATTTGTACTTCAGTTCATTGGAGTGATCAGCTATAAGCAACATTGCTGGCTGAGCTAAGAGCTAGAAGTAGTGAGAAAGCAGCTTCCCACCCCCAGGCTCTGCTGCGTCGGGATGGCAGAAGAAAGTGAGCGCTTTATTATTATTTCCTCAAAGTGACAGTCTGAAAGCACACTTGAAAATATTTTACAGTTTTAGAGGTAACATTTGTTATTTAATTAATAAGAGGACTTATCCCGGATCAGAAAAACAAAGTCATTTGAACTTGCCAGAAATTAATATGCAATTCTTGTTTACATTTTATACTAAGAAAATATTTAGGTGTCCGCCTATCTAAAGATAATCCACAAATCTTGTCCTCCCAGATAGCACAGTGATGAGAAATGCTTTTGGCTGAAGGACCATTTCAGAAGCCTCTCAAGTAAGAGGCGACAGCTCATTAACTTCACATGACAGTGAATGAGGCATTAACATCCTGTCCTAAAACAGAACTTTAACTTCAAGAGAACAACAACAATAATAATAACAATAATAATAATAATAAAAGTCACGGACTGCAACATCATACATACTCATAATCTCTCCAAGCTTCAGTTTTCAAATACCAGTTAGTGCCAATAGTCACGTTTAAAGTCATATTTTTATAGCCATAGCTTTATTATACTGAAAGCTAATATTTTTCATGCTGTCTCTATTTATCCTGAGCAGGACAGGGGCTGCTAAGAAAATGACAGATACATTACTGCTGTGAAAGGGAAATGCTGCACTGTAGACACTAGTTTAGGCTGATCACTAAAAGGCAATATAATTCTGTTATTCAACACTTGAACTTACAGCCCAGTTTTGGCAAAATGGCACACAGTAAAAATATTACATTATAGTTATGTTCACTTCACAGTTTTACTCCATGAGCAAGAATGTTATACTATAAGCATTGAATTTCCATATTTGTTATTAGCCATTTGTTTAACGGTGTATCATTGCCTTAAATAAAAGGAAGCATCCTTTCTAGGTAAATACTGTCTCATTTTTTTGTTTCAGACAAATAACTATTTCCAGTAATGTTGCTGAAAACTTCTCATTGATCCTGTGGCCATTCTTGGAAAAAAAAAGAAGAAGAAAATTTGCAGTATTATTACAGTAAACACAGCTTATCAGTTAAATCAAATATATCATTTAAACATTTCAGCGTCATGCAGTTGCAACAGTACTTGTTTGCAGATTTAAATTCTCTAGTCATGCAGATAAGGTAAAAAAATTAAATACTCATGAGACCCCCTACTTGTGAAGTCCAACATATCCACCTAATGGATAAAAGAAATTCAAAATCAAGAGTGGCTATGTGCCAGCCCGATTAGTCAGCTACCTGAAGATTATATAAAGCACATTGTTGAATACACAATAATCATCCTTGTACACGACTATCTTAAGAGAGACATGTGAAGAGAGGCAATACTTATCTATTGTTAGCCTGTTGAGACCCATGTTAATCAGATTTAATATGCAGGCAGATCACCACTTCCTAACTTGCTGACAACAGGTTGACTACTAATTCCCTACATAAAGGGCAGCATCCGGAAGGGCAGCAGATACCGGCTCTTGCTTTGGAAGAACAAGAGGCTTTACCACGTTTTCCTTGCTGAGCGTTGGCTCCCGCAAGGACCGCGGGTAGCAAGGAGGAAACGGGGTTACTTTCAACTGCACGATTTCAAGATATTCGAGGTATTTCCAAGCACGCAGAGAACATACACAATATCTGTGACGGATCTTTGGAAATTCTTGCTTTGTGGAGTTTGAATTTTTTAATGCATATATTTAACTCTGCTTCTCAGAGTTTCCCGGCGATTCTCTCATTGCTAAAAACTACTTACCTTAGTACAAGAAAAAAAATCTTGTCCTATGAGCAGCTGCCATGCTTTCAGACATATTTCTGACTTTAAGATAATTGACAAATCCTCGAAAGAACAGCAGGAGTCCTGAAAATGTCAGAAATGCGCAAAATGAAGTATATCAACATATCAAAGTACACAATAACCTGCATTATATAACCAGACTACTAAAAGTTATTTTGATTAAAAAAAATAAACAAGTCAGCAAATCCTATATGCATTTCACAAACAAGTTCAACAGGTAGAAGTTCTACTTTTAGCTGAGAGATATGACAGATATGTCCTTATGCAAGGCTTTTCATAAATTTTTTACATGCGTTCTGGATTCAGTTAGCTCCCACTTAAAGGATTACGTGAAAAATGTTAATAGAAAACGAGTAAGTGTTCTAAAAAGAAATGCAAATTACTTTCAAGTAAAATTTTTAGAAGGTATTTCTTTGTAAGAAAACTGCCTGAACCACAAGCTCCAAGGAGTTTGGAAAAGCTTAAGAGCGTGACACATGGTAAACCAAGGAGAAAACAAAAAAAATGAATCAAGACAGTACTGAGCATTCCACCATCAAACCAGTACCAAATTATGGCAGCTGCTGGCTTGCAATTTAGCTATCCACTAAAATGCACCATCCTAATGGAGGAAAATCACTAGCTGATTCAAAGACTACTCACAACAATTCTTATAACTACCTTCATTACGCTCACCTCCATATTTCATTATTTTCACATTTTAAATGATTTTTAAATAATTGAATTTGGCCATATTTGAAAGAATTTTTCAGCTCTAGTGATTTACTGAACAAGAATTTACTGAATGAGAACAATATCTACAAAATTGTCACACAAGAGCTACTGCTATAAAAAAGGACCTCACTCACAGACCTTGTTAACCTCCTTCTACCCATTAAGAGATTCATTGGGCACTGAACAAACTTTGGGGAGTAGAAGCCCCCCTGAGGCTGCGTAGCGGAGACAGCTCTTAGATCCATCCTTCTTTTGCTGAGTAGGCTTCAGCAGATGATTCTGTTTCTGTTGGCAGGATTAATCTGCCAAGAAAGTTGGGTGCCTAATTCTGAATTTCATGTGGCAACAAAAAAGATTAAGGGACTGCAGCACCTATCACATGGGGAAACACCAAGTGAGCTGGGCCTGGTTACCCTGGAGAAGAGAAGACTGAGAGGAGATCTGATCAATCTATACAAGTACCTGAGGGGAGAATGGAGAGAGGATGAGGCCAAACTCTTCTCGGTGGTGGCCAGTGACAGGACAAGAGGTAATCATAGAAACATAGAATCACAGAATGCTTAAGGTTGGAAGGGACCTCTAGAGATCATCTAGTCCAACCCTCCTGCACACGCAGGGTCACCTAGAGCACATGGCACAGGACTGCATCCAAGCGGGTTTGGAAGATCTCCAGAGAAGGAGACTCCACAACCTCTCCGGGCAACCTGTTCCAGGGCTCTGTCACCCCCACTGTTAAGAAATTTTCCTTAAGATCCTGTGGAGCTTTTGTTGCTTCAGTTTCTGGCCATTACCTCTAGTTCTGTAGGTGGCCACCAGTGAAAAGAGGCCAGCACCATCCTTCTCACTCCCTCCTTTGAAGTACTTATAGGCACTGATTAGATCCCCTCTCAGTGTTCTCTCCTCCAGGCTGAACAGGCCCAGCTCCCTCAGTCTTTCCTCATAGGGCAGATGTTCCAGGTCCCTGATCATCCTTGTGGCCCTGCACTGGACTCTCTCCAGCAGCTCCACATCCCTCTTGTACTGTGGAGCCCAGAACTGCACACAATACTCCAGATGTGGCCTCGCCAGGGCTGAGTAGAGCAATGGGTACCAGCTGAAACACAGGAAGTTCCTCCTCCATGTGAGGAAGAACTTATTTTCTGCGAGGGTGACAGAGCCCTGGACCCGGCTGCCCAGAGAGGCTGTGAAGTCTCCTTCTCTGGAGATCTTTCAAAACTGCCTGGATGCCACCCTGTGCTCTAGGTGTCCCTGCTAGAGCAGGGGTTTGGATTAGATGATCTCTACAGAGCCATCCCAACCTCAACCATTCTGTGATCCTGTGCTTTGTGGAGGCAGAAGTCTAGAGGGACCTTCTTTTCACCCTGGAACACATGTGCTGCTGTAAGGAGGTCCTCTCCCTGCTGCAGGTCAGCCAGGGCCTGCTGCCAGCGTCTCAGGCACAGAAAACCAACTCTTACATCTTCAAGGCATTGAGAAGAATATACCTTAGTTTCTCCCAAATGAGAAATATTATGCTATCCACTTGCCAATTCATTTTTAATTCTGAGATACATCAAGAAAGTACAGGTTTACAATATAGGTTTAAGGTAGTATTAAGTGTTTAAAAAATAAAAGAACAAGACCCTAACTCATAATAATTCAGGATTGACTTAGATGTTGCCACAATAAATCCCTGTGCTTTCTAACAGCACACATGTACAATGTTTGCTCTTACAGAATGGGAGACACCAGCTAAGATTAAACCTCTTTTTGATCCAGACTGGGAAAGTCTATGCTTAAGCTAACTATATCTCTTTAGGATCATCTTTGCTTCTCAGAAACTGAAGTTAACCCCTATATGACTCTGAACTGGGTAACTCAATACCAGGTGCATCATTATGTAGGAATTGGGTTCATGTGCATTTTAAGGAGAATGTAAAGGGCTTGAAGGCACATGTGTGCATGCATGTAACTGATCCCAAAGGTTCAAATGAAAATCTTGATAAGCTTTAGCTTAGATATCAAAAGATTCCTTTATTTTCCCTTCCATCCTAATAAACTATCCCTATAGTTACACAGATGTGCTAGGCACGTCTCTTGGGAAGAAGACCGTTCTGCTTTTCCACAGAGCATGAGCACACTTCTCCAGACTCAGGAGAAGATGGGAGCATAAACAGATATGTGAACACGACCAGAAAAAAAGGATGACAACAGGGGACTCAAGTATGGCACCAAGCTATACCAAAGACAAAGGCACAAAATTCAGGTTATTCATTTTTGAAGAAATACGGGATATACTAGCTAGCCTCTTCTAATTGGAAACTTGTCTGAAACACTGAGATAAAGATCTGTGTGGCAGAATCCCCATGACTTGATAATATTTTCTTTCTTTAATGCCCAGCAAAGTAGTTCTATAGGGTAAATTCTTCTGTAGCATTCTAGTAATCTCAGTTCATTTGTTTCATTAGTTTAAAATTATCAATAACATATTTCAACCAAAATATTCAGACAGAAGGGAATGTCACTTGTTGGATATATATTATGTACCCTGTTGATGCCTTTCATTCCGAGGCATATTATAAGATTTGCGAGTTGACATAAAAGAGAGAAAATGTTCAAACAGACAAGGCTGAAAAAATAAGGCTTTCCAAAATATAAGTGGCCTAACTTCTGAATGAGCCAAGCAGCTCACAAGGCTGGTAGAAAGAGGGACTACAAAGGCACAGCTCTGACAGGTAGGGTGGAAGATGATGTAAAGGGAAGAACACACTGCTTTTATACAAGTGAAAGCATTAAACCTGGTGCAGTGCCTCAAACTGGATTTTACTTTGATTAAAACAGTTTATCTGGAGATGTTCGCATGTGTAAAGAGTCACATCACTTGCTACTCGAATGCGGTCAACCTCAAGTTGAGTATGAAGGCATCGAAGGGGACGGGTTGTCTCTTTGATAAATGCATTATTAAAAGGGGGATGGAGAATATCCAGATAACTTCGCAAGCTATCCACAAGCAATGCCGGAAATCTTAAATGATCCCAGGCAGGACTGGAGCGTTTGCGCTTTCCTCGGCGTTCGTCGCGGGCTCCCCAAGGCGAGGCTGCCACCTACTGAAGCTGCAGCCTCGAGACAGCGCCGAGAGGAGCCTCCGCTCGCACCAACCCGCCTCACATCCACCCTTGGAGCGTCAGGGCCGCGCTGGGAAGCGGGTGCTGTAATTAAAAAGATGAACAGAGCTGGAAGCGCATCGAGCTCTGTGCCGGGGCAGGGGGTGCTTTAAAGGAGACATTTCTGTGATCAGCAAGCATGAAGCCGCGCTCGTCTCACTGAGCACCTATGGTGCCCAGAGCCTTTCAAAGGACTAGAAAAGGACATTTCGTGAGAAAAGGACATCTCGTGACCTGTGGAAAAGACAACAGGCTCCACCTTCCTTGGATCAGTCACATCTCTTGAAATGCAAGATTTGTCACACAAGCTTCAATATATATTCATCAGGTATCCCCTCCTTCCACTGCTTTCCACATAAAGCCTAGAGGTTTCTCAAAACAGTTGTGTATATAGTTTGTGTAAAAAATCCCCACAAATCATAAGCCGCAAATATGTACATAATTACATGTGCAGAAAAAAAATGAGTTGAAGGTCCCCAAATAGCCTGCAGTCCATGCAACATGACAGTGACTGATATCTGTTGAATGCTAAGGAAAAAAGAGCAGCATAAAAACTAACAATAGCATAAGAAAAGCATATGGCTAAATATGTTTAAGAACTATCATCTTTAATTACTTCCACATAAAAACATTTATGTTTGATTGCCACTTACCAAGTACAAGAAATATCCACCAAAGCCAGTACTGTCCATTGAAATATCCAGTAAAGTAATCTGAGAACTGAAATACATTCACAAGGCTTCAGTAACATAGGAGACTAGGACATAATTAATGCCTATTTAAATACAGAAAGTATGGAGGAAAAAGCAAATTTGAATAAAAATAATATGTTAAGGTAAAATACAAAGCCGGTATTTTATGTAGCAGTAGATTATACCTAATACTGGAAAAGTATTATTTGTCTTCTTTGTCTTTGAAAGTTACTATTTCAAATCTCTTTTAAATAAAATAATAATAATAATGATAATAAACCTAAGTATTTTGTGCTGGAATCACCTGACATTTTCTATTACAATGAATCACTGTTGTTGATTTTTCTCCCAGTGCCTGTGATCCCAAACACATTACAGCAGCCTGCTGCTTTAGATATTAACACCAGAAGCCACATTAGTTTAATCTTATCAGCCGAGGATGTTCTGCTGACCCCTCAAAAGAAGAGCTTTTGACCTGCTGTAGACCCCCTCCTGCTAATCGCTGCTGAGAATACCAGCCCCATAAAGACCCCCAGCTCATTAAAGTCTTTTCATTTTCCAACCAGGCTTCAGTTCCCAGCAGAGGGGTGAACGCAGCTAAATGAACCTTGAAGGGCCATTTCAGCTGCTCCCGCGAGTGACCACGGAGGGCGGTTTTGTCCCCTCTGACGCGGGAGGCAGCTGGGGGGCAGCGTGTGGTAACATCGGGCACAGGTAGCTTCGCCTTCACCATCCCGCACGCTCCACTGATAAAAAGGCTCAGCAAGTGTCTCTGAAGCTCCCCTTGGGCACAGGAGTAGAGAAATGTGTGAAAAGTTACCAGAAGGAATAAAAAAAAACCCCTGGTATTTAGCAGCAGTTACATTTGTCATGCTGCTTCATGTAGGCCGCATCCTGCCACAGAGCCCACGCAGTTTTCCATGTGGACTGGAATGTTGCGCAGTTCAGACAGGGCTTATTCTAAAAAGAGGATGCTGGACCTTCAACCACAAACATCACTGCCCTTGAATAAATTTTAGATGAAAGCGAGGCATGACTCATCCTTTTTTTCTTCCCCCTCTTCTCTCTTATGTAGATGGAGATGCACAGATATTTTCTCCATAATAAAGTCAGATCATGTGCCTTAAAGGCCTAATCCTGTACTCATTTCCATGAACAATTCAAAGAGAATAAAGTAAAATAAAAATACATAAATTATGCAACAGAGCTGCTAAATTGAATTAAAATATTTAGTACTTGTATTACTCCCACATAAATCCTAGTGTTTTTATCAGTCATCAGAGAGAGCATTGTATTTTGGCAGTTCATTAAAATAACCAATGAACACTTGATTCCCAGGGAGTTCTCAGCATTGCCAAAAGTGTATATCACATAATTAATATTTTAAATTCTCTAAGCACATCTACCAATCCATTTTCATTCAATTTAACTGGGAAGATTTATCAAAAGCAGCAATCAAGCACTAGTCTTGCATTTTTGTCACACTTTCTTTAGGCAAAACAAAACACTAGAAGAGAGAGAACAGACATTGTTTTAGACACTACTGCGTTTCACAGCACGGGCCCTAAGTGATGAAGGGTGACAGAAACCTTCTGAAGTTTGAAATAAAAGGAAGAGAACAACTACATGCATGTATACACACACATACACCTGCACATCCTCTATAGGACAACATTATCAATATATTATCAATATATACCTCAAGAACTTTGAAAAGGGCAAAAGAAACAGATGACATCTTATCTATGAATTGAAAAAAAAAAAGCAGCCTTGAGCTCTAGTATTTTTATTAAAAAAGTGTGTTTTTAAAATTCCATTATTATCTATTGTTAAATAAAATGCTATACTTTAGGTCTACAGACAAAATAGTCTGTACAGTGTAAATCAAGAAACATACCCGTACAATGAAAATCCATTTGATCAGTGAGAGACCAAATCCACAGATTGCACCATATCTTCCAGCTATGGTATTTGTTATACAGAAGGATAAACAAAATCCAATCCAGTTGAAAATAAATGCCACTATAAAATAAAAGAAACAGTCGCTTCTGTTAATCTACATAGATAGGCAAACACTTAGTTTCACTTATAAACTAATAAAGATATGCTTATGCAGTTTGAAGTTCCCTTCTAATAATTGAAGGTTTCAGAAATTTAGCTTAATACCCAAGAGTATACTCACTTAAAAATAAAGCAAATAATAAATAGATTGGAATCTACTGTTTTAAATGAGAACATTGCAAAAACAAAATACTACATTGCTACTGAAATCTGACTAAATGAAGCTAGAGAGGAAAGGTAATGCAAGCAAAGGACAGCACACAACATTTGGTTTAAAACAAAGAAAAAAAAATCAAAGATTGCTACATTTTTATAGCCAAGAATATAGTTATTATGAATACATATGTTCATACAATAAGGCTGAGTATTCAAGCTTGACCCAGCATGGGTAGAACAGAAGGAAAGTATCTGATCTTGTTCTGTAGACGTGTCATAGAAAGGAAGGTAAGTTGAGAAACTGATGTTTCACTGGTTACTGTCTTCTCCTTTGCAAGATCTATGTTCAAACACCTGCTCTTAGACACCTTAGACATCTTGCACAAAAACAGATGTGCTTTTGCAGAAAAGAAGAAGCGAAGCAACTGGAGGGCATAGCGCGTAACTACTTCTGCTACCTCAGTAATGACCTTGTATAGTTCAGAGTTTTGTAATTTAGGCTTTCATATCTGCACATGTAGCTGGCAAATAAACATCTGCATTGGCTGCAGCTTGAGTAATAAGACCAAAACATGGGAAGCCCCTTTAGGGGATGTCCCAGTCACAGGAAACAAGGGCAACTTAAAAAAATAAATTAAAAATAAAAATAATAAATATATACACACACATTTGTGGGTCAGCTATCTTACTAACACGAATATTTTCATTTGTGCAGTCAGATCTCTACAAAATAAAACAACATTTAAGAAAGCAGGATTTTTTTTTTTAAACAGAAGCTTTCTAAGCTCATCCTTCTGCTTGTTTTTACAGACTTCAGTAGCTAGTTCTTTACCGTGTTTCTATTGCTGTGTAATAACACAGCAATTTACTACTCTGCCTTTTTCTGAGCTATAAACAAGGAAAAAAAATATTTAAATTTCTTTTTGCCTCTATCCACTAGAAAAATTCTGCTGTGGATACTGATCAAAATCCAGCAATGAGGAACTTACTACTGCCTCTCCCAACTCTAATCACAATTTTAGGAAGCTTCTCCACTATGTCAGATGAACTTAATATTGTCAACAACAAAATTCATTCTTCCCAGTGCTTTGGCTCATCTCCTCAATATCCTACTGCTACTCCTCAGATCATCTCAGCTGTCTGATTGTGGTCACAAAACTCCTTCTTTCCTGTCACAAATGCATCTCCAGCTTCTGAGTTGACTGGATCTAGAGGGATTTTTATCTATTTTCCAGCAGTTTTCCTTCTATCTGTATCTTCTTCCATCAGAATTTCTTGGGAGGGAATATCCTATCAATCATGCAAGTTGCTTGAGCCCACACTGCATATGGTAAGAACAACCAAAAATAGTTTGTGAAATTCCTGTCTGTCCAAAGTCTTGAGACATTATGGCAATAAAAGAAGCCCATAATTTTCATCCCTATATTGCTTGAGAGAAGCCATAAAATTTTCTTCCGAAACTTGAAGGAAAAGAAAAAAGAAAAAAAAAAGGGGGGGGG